TGTAAAATCTTCTCGAGGGTCCCAACTGTCTTTTTTAAAAATGTAAAACCTTCTGGGGGCCCCAAATGTATTTTTGTAAGAATGTAAAACGTTCTCGAGGGTCTCAAGTGTGTTTTTTAAAAATGTAAAACCTTCTCTATGGTTCCAACTGTGTATTTTAAATCTGTAAAACCTTCTCGAGGGCCCCAGATATCTTTTTTTAAGAATGTAAAATCTTCTCGGAGATCCCAACTTTTTTTTTAATGTAAAACCTTCTCGATGGTCCCAACTGTCTTTTTCAAGAATGTGAAGCCTTCTCGGAGGTCCCAAATGTCTTTTTTTTTAAGAATGTGAAACCTTCTCGGGAGCGCCAAATGTCTTTTTTTATGTGAAACCTTCTCGGGGGTCCCAACTGTCTTTTTTACAAAATGTAAAACCTTCTCGGGGGCTCCAAATGTCTTTTTTTTTAAATATGAAACCTTCTCGGTAGTCCCAACAGCCTTTTTTAAAAATGTAAAATCTTCTCGGAGGTCCCAACTGGCTTTTCTAAAAATGTAAAACCTTCTCGGGAGTCCCAACAGGCTTTTTTAAAATTTAAAACCTTCTCGGGGGTCTCAACTGGCTTTTTTAAAATGTAAAACCTTCTCGGTGGCGCCAAATGTCTTTTGTTTAAGAATGTGAAACCTTCTCGGGAGTCCCAACAGGCTTTTCTAAAAATGTAAAACCTTCTCGGGGGTCCCAACTGGCTTTTTTAAAAATGTAAAACCTTCTCGGGGGTCCCAACTGGCTTTTTTAAAAATGTAAAACCTTCTCGGGGGTCCCAACTTTTTTTTTAATGTAAAACCTTCTCGGGGGTCCCAACTGCCTTTTTAAATATTTGGGACCTTCCCGGAGGTCCCAAATGTCTTTTTTTAAGAATGTGAAACTTTCTCGGGGGTCCCAACTGTCCTTTTTTTAATGGAAAATCTTCTCGGGAGCGCCAAATGGCTTTTTGTATGTAAAACTTTCTCGGGAGTCCCAACTATCTTTTTTAAAAATGTAAAACCTCCTCGGGGGTCCCAACTGGCTTTTTAAAAATGTAAAACCTTCTCGGGGGCCCCAAATGTCTTTTTTTAAAAATGTGAAACCTTCTCGGTAGTCCCAACAGCCTTTTTTAAAAATTAAAATCTTCTCGGAGGTCTCAACTGGCTTTTCTAAAAATGTAAAACCTTCTCGGGAGTCCCAACTGTGTTTTTTAAAAATGTAAAACCTTCTCGGAGCTCCCAACTGTCTTTTTAAAAAATGTAAAACCTTCTCGAGGCCCCCAAGTGTCTTTTTTAAGGATATTAAATCTTTTCGTGATCTCAACTGTATTTTTTAAGAAGGTGAAACCTTCATTTTTTCTATTATACTGTGACTAGTAGCTTCTATATTGTTTTTACCCCATAGATAGGGGTTATCTTGAAAAAGCAAATTGTACATCAGAAGCCAGGGAAGTCCTGTCGAAATAACTTTCGACCACTTGTTATTATTATTAATACTGACACAATCTATACGGAAATGGCCTTTATAGGATTTAGAAGACTTAAATTAACACATGGTTCATTGCGAGAGCTAATATATTGATCCCATTTATTAATGTTACTCATTTCGGTCTTCCGAACCATTCCTTCCTCCCAAAATCGCCTTTTCCATCACCTGTCATTCGCGTCGTTACCTTAAAAACCTCCCCCTCCTTCCCCACGTTATCCGAGCTAATGAGAAGTCCGCAAGCAAAGTCAAATTAGCGCCCCCGCCCCGCCGCCCCCGAATCACCGTTCGCCGTAATCGGCGGCGGGTTCAGGTCGGCCGCCGCTCCCGCTGAAAATAGTTAGTGTGTATGCGAGGATAATCGGGGCCGGGGATATTAGCTGACGCACCCTCCTCACCGGGTCGGCCCCCAGCGGCAGCGGCGGCGGCGGCATAAAGCGACGCTCGTCTCTTTTGATTCGCGGATTAATTGAAATACCTCGCATTCCACGGGTTCGGCTATGGTTCTACGGAAGCGTCCTGGAAAACGGTCGACGGGATATCGAAGGAAGATGGAGAGAGGCCGGGACTGCAACGGATGAACTCGCGCGATATTATCCTGGCGGAGGTGTGTGTGTGCGTCAAAGTAGGCTATCGAAGAGCGACCCGGCCTGGATGGGGTGGCGGCGATTAATCACGCTCACGCATCGTCACGTTCCGCGCACCTGAATAATTAGTTGCGGCCCACGATGGGCACGGGATTGCGTAATTACGCGATGGGTGAGCGAGGGTTTTATCGCTTAATCTAGTATGTGCTCTTGAAAAAAAAAATTGGTCTAAAGAGTTTAGACAGTACTTCCCTCGCTGTCGGAAACTTGACGACTGCATGCCTATTGTGTTTTTTTTCTCATTACATTTTTGTAGTGGGAATTTAAAAAAAAATTGCGATGACGTCATCAACATTTTTGCAAGGACACGTATATCAGTTGGGATAGATGTAGTGTAATACTAAGAATAAAATTATTATATTCTCAAATTTTCGGGAAAATGAATTGGGTCGTTTTGAATATTGATTTGTAATAATCAATAAAATAACGAAACAATTTACTCACGTATACGTATCAGAGGCAACTGAAAATCGTGTATGTATAAACATTCTTAATTTAAGATGACAGGCGTAACAGCATACGTGAGAGCCAAACACAGAAACTGTAAACAAAACGACCATCGGTTTTATTGCTTCGACTTCCGCTTATTATATAAAACATTGGGTTTTATTTTAATTCTTGACGGTGAAATTCACAATTGGTTGATTATAAACATGTCTACTTCACATTCGCGGAACCAAGTGAGCGCATAAAACAAATGCAGATCTGTAATGTTAAAGTCGATGCAAATAAGCGTGCTACCCTTACGTTTCAACCGAGTTTTTCCTTTAACAAATTTTGTGTCTACCAAATTGGGTTGGTTGGGGTGTAATACTAATAATAAGTGTTGCCTTTAATTTAATCAATAAAATAAATTGACTTCATTAATTTTTTTGAACCACCTCTTAAGAAAATCTAAAAAATATGAATGGAATGATAAATCACAAGTACAAACTCATCATATTTTTTGCATTTTAGATAGGATTTATTCAGCAAAATTTAAGGGTGACGTCATCAATTTTTTTAGGAGGGATGAACAAATACATTTTGAACAAAAGTTTACCATGCTTATAATAACTTTAAAATATTCCCAAGATTTCAAAGCATTCGGTTTTGTAATTCCTGATTAAATCGATAAAATAAATTCACGCCTTCATTAATTTTTTTGAGTCACCCTGCATATGCAAATCCAAAAATATGAATGGAATGATAAATCACAAGTACAGACTCATCATATTTTGTACATTTTAGATACGATTTATTCGGCAAACTTTTGAGCTGACGTCATCAGTTTTTTGTAGAAGATAGCCAAATATATTTTGACTACAAATTTATTATGCTCTTTATAACCTTAAAACATCTGCAAGATTTCAAAGCATTCGGTTTTGTAGTTCCTGATTAAATCAATAAAATAAATTTACGCATTCATTAATTTTTTTGAGTCACCCTGTATATTCAAATCGAAAAAATTTGAATGGAATGATAAATCACAAGAAGAGACTCACCATATTTTGTACATTTTAGATAGGATTCATTCAGCAAAATTTTGTGGTGACGTCATAAATTTTTTAGGGGGGACGACCAAATAGGTTTTGATCAAAAATTTACCATGCTTATGATAATTTTAAAATATCTTCAAGATTTCGAAGCATTCGGTTTTGTAGTTCCTGAGTAAATCAGTAAAATAAATTTACGCTTTCATTTATTTTCTTGAATCACCCTGTATATGCAAATCCAAAAAATATGAATGGAGTGATAGATCACAAGTACAGACTCATCATATTTTGTACATTTTAGATATGATTTATTCGGCAAATTTTCGAGCTGACGTCATCAAGTTTTTGGAGGGGATAAGCAAATATATTTTGACTAAACATTTATTATGCTCTTTATAACCTTAAAACATGTGCAAGATGTCAGAGCATTCCGTTTTGTAGTTCCTGATTAAATCAATAAAATATATTTACGCATTCATTAATTTTTTTGAGTCACCCTGTATATGCAAATCCAAAAAATATGAATGGAGTGATAGATCACAAGTACAGACTCATCATATTTTGTACATTTTAGATATGATTTATTCCACAAACTTTTGAGCTGACGTCATCAAGTTTTTGGAGGGGGTAATCAAATATTTTTTGACTAAAGATTTATGATGCTCTTTATAGCCTTAAAACATCTGCAACATTTCAAAGCATTCTGGTTAGCAGATTAAAAATTAAATTTCAAAATGTTGTTTTATAATTTTGATTTTTTTTCCAAAAATCTGGACGTTTCGGGTGAAAAGTCGATTCAGAGTTGTAAACTACATGTGTAGGACTATGTTATTTTATACAATTGAAAACCCATTTACTATGTACAATTTTGAAGTGACGTCATCGCATTAGTGGTGGGGATGATTAGACAAATTTTGGTTAGCGTTTTACCATCTACATGATATTCTTAATATAAGTACAAAATTTCACAACAATCGGTCGAGTACTTTCGGAGATTATCTGTCTAATAAAAATCCGGGGGCAGACGGACAGACGGACAGACGGACGGACAGACGGACGCACAGACGGACGGACAGACGGACAGACAGACGGAAATGGGAGACCTATTTCTTCGTCTTCTAGGGGTCATGAAAGATCGAGAAAACGTAAAAGTAGAGAGTCGGCCGACGGACTCGATTACAATACTTCCTTTGCTTACGCTCGGGAAGTAATAATTACTGGATCATTTAGGAAAGTAGTGACGGTTTCTCGAGTCCATCGGGCGACTGTCTACTTTCGTATTTGCTCGACGTTTCACGACCTCTACAGTCTGTCTGAATGACGTCACTTACAAATGTTATTTAGATTAGAAAATTGACTCAGAAACTTTGTTCGTCTAGTGTCATTTAGTTAACAATTGTTAACAAGTTGCTTCCCGCCCAGTACATAAATGTGATTTAAGTCGTAAACATACATTTATTTTAACGAAGAAATGATATTAATTGTAGTGTTAATCGCAGTCACTAGTGGTTTATTCCTGTTGAACTTAAATTACAAGTACTGGAAAAAACGAGGGGTTCCTGGTCCCAAACCTACGTTCTTTGTTGGAAATTTAGCAGACAATTTTCTTGTAAAAAAGTCATTGTCTGACCTGTACGCCGAAATTTACCAGTAAGTCTGTTTTTCCCAAAAAATTGTAACCATCCTATGCACTTTCAGAAAATTTCAAGACTCTCGTTTAGTGGGTATTTTCAAAGCAAACACCCCGGTTCTGATAATTCGCGACCCGGAACTAATCAAAGACATCACAGTCAAGTCGTTCCAACACTTCCACGACAACGATTTATTCCTCGACAAAAATATCGACCCTTTATTAGGACGAAATCCATTTTTCTTAAAAGGCGAAGAATGGAGAAGCACACGAGCTTTGTTAACTCCGGGTTTTACAAGCGGGAAGGTAAATAGTCCCTAAGTACTAACCCTACTCTACAATTACCCTCTAGATGAAATGGGTTTATCCCTCACTGGAAGAAGTCAGCAGGGACCTTGTCACCTACATCGATAAACACCAAGAAACAACCAGCTTCAAAGCCAAAGAACTTTGCATGAGATTTACCTTGAACAGCGTCGGAGCTTGTGCTTTTGGACTTGACGCCAAATGCTTCGAAGAAGACAATCCCGAGTTTAAGCAAATCGGGGATAGGTTTCTGGTTCCAGAAGGTTTTCAAGCCGTCAAAGCGTTCCTTATTAGAATGATTCCTGTCTTGAGGAAGATGGTTTCTTTCAGGTGACCCGTACAACCAACTTAAATCCAACCCCAACTTTGATTTTTAGAATCACTCCGAAAGATGTGGAAGAAAAACTCACAAATATAGTGAGACAAACTTTACGCTACCGTGAAGACAATAACATCGTCAGGAACGATTTTATGCACATACTATATCAAATGACTAAAACGAACTCAGATTTTAAGGAAGTTGATGCTACAGCACATGCTGCTGGGTTCTTTGTAGAGGGTTACGAAACAAGTTCGGTTGTAATGCATTTTTTGTTATACGAACTTGCAGCAAATCGTAAGGTTCAACTCAAATTGAGACAAGAAATAGACAAGGCGTTTGAAGAAAACGACGACACCTTACCGTACGAAGAACTACAAAAGCTGGTGTATTTAGACGCTGTTTTTAATGGCAAGTTGTGGTTTGTTGATAGATTATTATTGTTTTTATTTTTGTTTTGTTAGAGGCGCTACGATTGCATCCGCCTGTGGGTTCTTTGAGAAAAGTTTGTACCAAACCTTACACCTATACACCAAAAGAGGACGAAATGATTAAGTCTTTCGTTATCGAAGAAGGAATGATTGTTATTTTATCACTGTATGGACTACACCGGGATCCAAAGTACTTCACCGATCCGGACTGTTTTAAACCTGAACGGTTTCTTGATGCCAAGAAAGACAGTTTTAAGTATGTTTTTATGCCGTTTGGTGAAGGTCAAAGGGCTTGTTTAGGTTGTTTATTGAGGATGTTACTGACACTCACTAAATGGTGACGTTTTTAGGGCAAAGGTTTGGCTCTCTTCAAGTGAAAATCGGTGTTGCTTATATAATTAGGAATTTTGAAATTTCTGTTAACGGAAAGACACAGTTGCCTATTAAATACGACCCTGTGTATATACTGACGTTGCCGAAGGAGCCTGTGTGGCTCGACTTCAAGAAGATCCGATGATTTTATTTTGAGATGTTATATAATTATAATGTTACTATATAACCTTAGTACTAAGTAATTTAGAGACTTTGTTGTCAATAAAAATGTATTTTCGAAGTCCTATTTTGAATATACTGAGATGACTATTAATGTTTGTTTTTTTTTTCAGGTTGGCAATATATTTAAATTTTGTGATGGCTTCCCTGATTGACAGATTGACATTTATGACACCAACACATCGTTTTAACCAGTCAACATGTTTTTTAGACTAATCGGAAAATTAAAAATGAAAAAAGTTCCCAAAATTGAAATGTTGAAGAATTGAGAAATCGAGAACTCAAAAATGGAGAAATCTAAAAATCAAAAAGTCGAAAATTTCAAAAAATTGAAGAATCGAGATGTCAAAAAATAGAAACATCAAAAAATTGGAAAATTGGAAAATTGAAAAACCGAAAAAAGTAAAACTTAAAATACGATCAATTGAAAAATCAAAAAACAGAAAATTTAAAAATTAAAAATTCGAAAAACTGAAACTTCAAAAAATTAAGGAATAGACATATCTCAGAAATGAAAAATCAAAAAATTGAGATCTCGAGAAATCAAAAAAGATAAAACTTAAGGAATTGAAAAATTAAAATGTCGAGAAATTGAAGAATCAAAAAATGAAAAATCCCAAAATTCAAAAATTTAAAAATTTAAAAATTTAAAATAAAAAAACCGAAAAATGGAGAAATCGACACACTGAAAAATCGAGAAATTGAAAAATTCCAAAATTGAAATGACAAAAAAATTGGAAAAATGAAAATTTGCAAAACCGAAAAATCGAAAAATTGGAAAATCATAAAGTCGAAAAAAAGAAAAACCAAAAAATCGAAAAATTGAAACAGAAAAATTGAAACATCGAAAAATTTAAAAAATTAAACATGGAGAAATCGAAATATGCAAAGGAAAAGTTAAAAATTGAGATATTGAAAAACTGAAAATTCGAAATGGCATAAAAATTTTCAATTTTACTCTTTTTTTTGAAAAAAAACAAGAAAAATTGAAGAATCGAAAATTTAAAAAATCGAAACATTGAAAAATCCAGAAATCGAGAAGTCGGAAACGCGAAGTCGAAAAATGTAAAAGATGAAAAATCAAAACCCTGAAAATTAAAAAATTGAATAATGGAAAAACTGAAGAATTGAAAAACTTAAAAATCGAAACATTGAAAAATTCAAAAAGTTAAACATATAGAGATCAAAACATCAAAAGATCGAAAAATCGAAAAGTTGATTTTTCAATCTACGATTTTTTGACATTCCGAAAGATTCTTGAACCGAGAAATCGTGAATCGAAAATCGAGTTTAAAAAATTGCAAAAATCGAAAAATGGAAAAACTGGAAAATCGAAAAACTAAGAAATCGAAAAATTCAACAACTGAAACACTGGAAAATCGAAATATGAAAAGATCGAGTCGAGAACCCGAAAAGTCGAAAAATTCAGAAATCGAAATAAGCCAAAATAGAAATTTTGAAAAGTTAAAAATTGAAAACTTTAAAAATAAAAATCCATAAATCGAAAAACTAAAAGAACGAAAAATTGAGAAACTGAGCAATCAAAAAATGAAAACACCGGAACTTCAATGAAACTAGAAATAGAAAAATTGAAATAAAAAACTGAAAAAAATTGAAAAACGGAAAAATCTGAAATTGAAAACTCTTTCAATCGAGAAATCGGAAAATCTACAATTTTAAAAATTGAAAAATTAAATAACGAAAACTTGAAAAATGGGAAATCGAAACATGAAAAAATCAAAAAATTAAAAAATCCAAAATCGAAACAGAAAGGTCGAGAAATTGAAAAATCGAAAAATCGAAAAATCCCAAAACTGAAATATCGAAAAATTGGAAAATGGAATAAAAATTGAAGAATGGAAAAATTAAAAATTCTCAAAATCGAAATATCGAAAATTCAAGAAATCAAAACATTGAAAAATCGTGAAATCGAAAAGTTCGAAAAACGAAGTCGGAAAAGGAAGTCGAAAAATGTAAAAAATGAAAAATCAAAAAACTAAAAATAGAAAAACTGAAGAATTGAAAAATTTTAAAATCGAAAATTAGAAAGTCGAAAAACTGAAAAATAGTAAAACTGAAACATTGGAAAATAGAGAAATTGTTAAATGAAGAAATCGAGAAATCGAAAATTTTAAAAATCGAAAATTTAAAAAATTAAAACATCGAAAAATTGAGACATCTAGAAATTGAAGTTCTCAAAATTCAAATGTTGAAAAATTTGGAAAAATCGGAACATTGATAAACCAAAAAATGTAAAAATAAAAATAGAATAAATTGAAAAATTAAAAAATCGAGAAATTTAAAAGTTCAAAATTAAAAATAGAGGAATTGAAAAATTCTGAAACTGAAATGACAAAAAATTGGTAAATCGAAAATATGAAAAACCGGAACATCTGAAAATTTGAAAACATGGAGAAATCAAAGCATCAGAAGATCGAGAAATTAAAGAGTTGATTTTTTGATTTCTCGAGTTCTCGATTTTTCAATTTTCGATGTTTTGACATTCCGGAATATTTTTCTATTTTTTCGATTTTTGGACCGAGAAATCGAGACTTCAAAATCCAGTTTAAAAAATTACAAAAATGGAAACAACGAAAAATTGGAAAATCGAAAAGCCGAATAGTCAAAAAACCGGAAAACTGAGAAATCGAAAAACCAAGAAATCAAAAAATCGAAAAATTAAAAGAACGAAAATTCGAGAAACTGATCAAGAAAAAAATTAAAACATCGAAATCTCAGTAAAACTAGAAATAGAAAAACTGAAATAATTGAAAAACAGAAAAATCTAAAACGGAAAATTTTAAATTTAAAATTTCAAAAAATCAAACAATCGAGAATTCGGGAAAACTATAATTTTCATAATTGAAAAATTAAACATCGGAAAATTGAAAAATCCAAAAACTGAAATATCGGAAAATTTGAAAATTGGAAAAAAAACTGAAGAAATGAAAATATTAAAAATCTCGGAACTGAACTATCGAGGATTTGAGAAACCGAAACATTGAAAAATCGAAAAATCGAAAAGTCGGTAAAGCGAAGTCGAAAAATGCAAAAATGAAAAATTAAAATCCTGAAAACTGAAAAATTAAATAATCGAAAAACTAAAGAATTGAAAAACTTAAAAATTAAAACATGGAAAAATTCAAAAAGTGAAACCTGGAGAAACTGAAACATCATAAAATCGAAAAATTGAAAAATTGAGCAATTGAAATAGGCCAAAATCGAAAATTCGAAAAGTTAAAAATTGAAAACTAAAAAATCAAAAAATCGATAAATCCAAAAATTGAAAAATTAATTAACGAAAAATTGAAAAATTGAGAAATCGGAAAATGACAAAGTCGAAAAATCTAAAAATTAGAAAATGGAAGATAAATTAGGGACTCGAAAATAAAAAAAAAAGTGAAACTGAAATATCGAAGATTTGAGAAATCGAACCATTGACTAATCGAGAAATCGAAATGTCGGAAAAGCGAAGTCGAAAAATAAAAAAATGGAAAATCAAAAACCCAAAAATTGAAAGATTGAATAATCGAAACACTGAAGAATTGAAATACTTAAAAACCGAAACGTTGAAAAGTCGGGAAATCGAAAATCAAAACATCCATCAATCGAGAAATTGAGAAATGAAAAAATTGAAAACGTAAAAACGTCAAAAATTGAAAAATTTAAAAATCGAAAAATGGAAAAGTCGAAAAATTGAAAAATAGTAAAACTGAAACAACGAAAAATTAAGAAATTGTTAAATAAAGAAACCCAGAAATCGAAACTTTGAAGAATCGAAAAATCCCAATAGTGAAATAACAAACATTGATTAACCGAAAAATTTAAAATTGAAAACTGAAAAACTGAAAAATTGTGATGTGTACAAGTTTGACTTTTTTCCAAAAATCGCGATGTCTAGGATAAAAATTCAACACAGATTCATAAACTACAAGTTAACTATGTTATTTTTTAACATTTATTCGACAAACTGTAAGATGTAGATGACATCATCAATTCCTGGGGAGACATTAATGGATAAATTTCGATAACCTTAAAATGTTGCAAAAATTGCAAGATTTCAAAGCATTCGATTAAAAATTAATTAATCGAATGTGTTGCTTAATCTAAAAGATTCATTGTTGCCAACCTAAATTTGAGTGTGGACAATATTACATTTTTTTCACTTGATTGCAATTGGTGCCACCGAGTCGGCAGCCATCTTAGTCGCGCAAAAGATCTGTTGATAACTGTGAACTGACATACAAGCCGTTGCTGCCAATAATTCAGAATTGCCAACTCAAAAATTTGATTCAATCATTAATAGTCACTCGGTATTTTAAAGTAAAATTTTTGGTTAACCGAAGGACGAGATTTGTAAACATGGTTGCTAGATTATCATTAAAAATATCCTGCCGCCGTAGAAGATGAAGATAATAGGGATCTCCATTCGGAATAAACAAGACCTGACGTGATTTGACTTGACCTGACCGGACGAAACCTGACTTGTCTTGGCCTGATTTAGTTACTCAAAACAAGTATTTGCTACTCTTTTATTTGATCTGACCTAACCTGAGCTGATCTGACCTGATTTAGCTTGGTTAAAAAAAAGTGTGCAATCACTCTTTTGATAAAAATCCATTTCGAGAGTATGCATACGAGCAGAAAGCCGCCATAATTCTCTAAAAATCCATACACGTTTCAGCGACGTATAAAGCATGTTCGGGCAATAAAAGCGTCCCACGTTCGGCGTGTTAGTGGCTGTTAAATCCTGCGGTAAAGATAAACGTCGTCGATGTATTAATTGAGCATTACATTGCGTTATTAAATATCCGCGTTAGGGAGAAGCGTAATGATATCATCATAAAATCAATTAGTCAGTTGTTGTAAAGGGGTGCAAGAGCTAATTTCTCTGCAGACAGCGTTTATTGATCCAGAAGCTAATTTAGCGGCATCATCCGACAAGTTTATTGGTAATTTACTCATAATATCTTAACGCTGAAATTCAGCCCAAGAAATTAATTACTCCACTCGACTCAATACCCTCGTCAAAAACACGTCTGCGCCCTAATCGAAAAAAGGTTATGGACACGAACGAAGGTCGGTTTTAGTGGATTTGCTAATTGAAACAATTAAGCCCTGCAGGACGAGTCGCACACAGCAAAACTGTCGAGTATTTTAAGCGAACAAAGCGGGCCAATAAATACCGAGCACAATTTCGGATCGTACGACATAAATTGGTTAAATAAGAAGAGCGTATAAAGAGAAGATGTCCGTAATGTAGAGACGGATAGAGGAGGGTGAAAGAGCTATGCAGGAATTCGGGGGACCAAGCAGTGCCCAGCCAATATGCGCACGCTTGACTTTTAATAAAAGCGAAGCGAATGACTATTTTATTTTGTGAAAGCATCGTCCTACCCTTCATTCTGCAGCTTTTATTGTCTGCTGTTGATGCGATATATCTCTGAGATAACAGCGGCCGCCGGAACATTGTCACCTCCGCTCTCCCGGATTTAACTAATAATGCCTGACGTCCCGTTCTACAAAATAGACGCTGATATTTTACTATACTACAAAATTATCTAACGCACTTTAATGTTTGTAAATAATTAATAATAAAAAAATATTATCTCGCCTTCATCGCCTGTAGTTTTATTACAACTTTATTAAGTCAACGAATTGTAGCTATAAAGATTATCCAGATTAACAAGTTTTGACTTATGTCATCGATACGGTTGTACGATTCCATCACGTCGAGACAATTACAAGATGACGAACTATCATAATCTGTACATTTTCCTCAGTTTGCTAGCTTTGGGGGTATGTTGTCACTAATAACTTATTAATAACTGACCACAGCTTTCACAGGAAAGTGTTATAGTGGAATTACCGCACGGAAAAATACAGGGTAAGCAATCCCTAACGTTTAACAATAAAACGTTTTACAGCTTTGTGAAAGTACCTTACGCATCTCCGCCGGTCGGCGAATTAAGATTTAAAGTAAGTAAATTACAAAAAATTTAGGTATATGTTGTTTTAATAAGGCAAAAATAGGCACCTGTTCCACCAAAAGCTTGGGAAGGAATTTTAGATGCTACCAGTAATCGTGTCGTACAGTGCCGAAACTAGCTATAGGCCGAGTAGGCCCTTGCCTAGGGGCGCCAACGACAAGGGGCGCCAAATTCGTCCAAAAATTATGATGTATAGTTTCGGAAATTTTATTGTACCCTATAAAATTTTATTGACAATAACGAGACGCACAGTAGTACAATAGCAAGAGATATATACAACTTAAGTTGTTGCGTGCCGGTAATCCCCACATGTTAGAAACCAGAATAATCCAGGTCCGGGCTGGGACCATCGTTACTTATGAACTGAAATGACCATTATTTTATGAGTACAACTACCTGCCAAATATTCTCAGACAAGTTCGAGTGAACTGGTGTGAGCCATAAATATGTCTTACCATTGTACTACTGTCCGTCTCGTTATCGTCAATAAAATTTTATAGGGTAGAATGAAATTTCCAAAACTATACCAAGAATTATGTAATATTAATCTTTTTTTATTTTGAACGGAAGCTCAGAAACATGTAACCGGTGCGACAGGTTTTTTAATGTTGATTTTATTTTGAACTTATATAATATTTATAGATTTATACATATTATATACCTATATGTATAATCTCGAATTTTTTTCTTTTTTTTATATTTTATCATAGTATCTGTTTTGCATAGGTACTTATTAAAAAATATAAATAAAACTGTTCTGTAAAGTTGCATTTTTATGTGTAGGAGAGGGGCGCCTAACGCAAGGTTCGTTCGTCTATAACTAAATATTCTTTGGTTTCGGCACTGGTGTCGTATGCCACCAAATAGACCAAGATCTCCCTCTCGAGTCAGAAGATTGTTTATACCTAAATATTTACACTCCACAGGTACATTTTACACTTTTTTAATTTTGTTTTTGTCTGTCCGTCTGTCTGTCTGTCTGTCTGCCGTCTGTCCGAATTTTTATAAAATAAGATAATATGAATCCGTGTTCAGTTTATAACCTAGACATTCAGTTTTCTATGAAAAAAATCGTATAACATTTTATAATTTAACTTTAAAAAACTGCAAAACCTAGTGCTCTCAAATCATGAACGATTTAAGGTTAAAAGAAGAATTTTTCGATTTTGGATTTCTCAAACATTTGATAAATCGAATTTTCGATATTTCGAATTTTTGAATTTTTTTTTCGATTTTTGGAATTCCCGATTTCCCTATCACTTTCTCGATTGTCCAGTTTTTTGAATTTCGATAGTTCGTTTTTTGTACAATTGGATTTTTCGATTTCTCGAATTTTTGAATTTTCGATTTTTCGAGTTTTAAAGTTTGGAATTTTCGTCTTTTCGAATTTGATTCATCGATTTTTTAAATTTTCAATTCTGAGATTTTTCAACTTTCAATTTTTGGAACTTTCGATTCTTGATTTTTCGAATTTTCCGTCGTTCAGTTTTTTAATTTTCAATTTGTTTCCTTTTCGATTTTCCGATTTTTCAGTTTTTCAATTTTTCGATTATTCAAACTTCCAGTTTTTTGAATCTCCGATATTTCATTTTTCTACATTCGAATTTTTGAATTTCTCGTATTCTCGATTTTCGAATTTTTGACTTTTCGCTTTTAGAATTTTCGATTTTTTGACTTTTGATATTTCGTATATTCTACATTTGGATTTTTCAATTTCTTAAATTCTCGATTTCCGAATTTTTGAATTTTCGGTTTTTCGATTTTTGAATTTCCTAATTTTCGATTTTTCAATATTTCCATTCTTCAGCTTTTTGAGTTTTCAATTGGTTCTTTATCAATTTCCCGATTTTTCAGTTTCTCATTTTTCCAATTTTTCAATATTTCAATTTTTCGAATTTTGATATTCGTTTCCACATTTGGATTTTTCAATTTCTCAAATTCTCGATTTACGAATTTTTGAATTTTCGATTTTCGATTTTTAAATTTACGAATTTTCGTTTTTTCGAATTTGTTTCATCGATTTTTTCAATTTTCCAATTCTGAGATTTTTCAACTTTCAATTTTTGGAACTTTCGATTCTTGATTTTTAGAATTTCCCATTCTTCGGTTTTTTGAATTTTCAATTTGTGTTCCGATTTTTAAATTTTTCGTTTTTTCGATTATTCAAACTTCCAGTTTTTCGAATTTTCGATATTTTGTTTTTTCTACATTTGGATTTCGCAATTTCTCGAATTCTCGATTTTGGAATTTTTGATGTTTCGGTTTTCCGATTTTTAAATTTTCGAATTTTCGGTATTTCGAATCTTTAATTCATGGAATTTTCGATTTTTCATTTTTTTAATTTCGATTCCACGATTTCTATTTTTCGATTTTTCGACTTTTTGACTTTTGATATTTCGTATTTTCTACATTTGAATTTTTCTATTTCTCGAATTCTCGATTTGCGATTTTTTGTTTTTTCGGTTTTTTGGTTTTTCAATTTTTCAATCTTTCAATTTTTCAACTTTCAATTTTCCGAATTTTCGATTTTTGATTTTCCTAATTGTCGATTTTTCAATTTTTCCTTTCTTCAGTTTTTTTGAATTTTCAATTTTTTACTTTTTCAATTTTTCGAATTTTTAAATTTTAGATTATTCAGATTCAATTTCTCAATCTTTCGATTTTTCGACTTCTCGGTTTTATATTTTCGGCTGAACAATTTTTCGATTTTAAAAATATTTGATTTTTCGAATTCTTGATTTCTCGATTTTTCGATTTTTCAGTTCTTCGATATTTCAATGTTTCGATTTTTAAATTTTAGATTTTTCAGTTTTTGATGTGTCAGTTTTTCGATCTCGATTTTTCCACTTCTCGGTTTTCAATTTTTCTATTTCTCGATTTATCGAGATTTCGATGTTTAGATATTTCAAATTGTATGATTTTTTAAATTTTGGATTTTTCAATTTCTCGAATTCTCGATTTGCGAATTTTTGAATTTTCGGTGTTTCGATTTTTAAATTTTCGAATTTTCGGTTTTTCGAATATTTGATTCATCGAATTTTCGATTTTTTATTTTTTTTTTATTTCGATTCCACGATTTCTGTTTTTCGATTTTTCGCTTTTAGAATTTTCGATTTTTTATTTTTTAATATTTCGTATTTTCTACATTTGGATTTTTCAATTTTTGAAACTTTCGATTTTTGATTTATCGAATTTTCCATCCCTGGGTTCAAACTACCATTTCTTCAAATTTTCTGTATTTGACTTTTCGAATTTTCGATTTTTCAATTTTTCCATTCTTCAGTTATTTGAATTTTCAATTTGTTTCCTTTTCAAATTCCCGATTTTTCAGATTCTCACTTTTCCGATTTTTGAATCTTTCAATTTTTCGAATTTTGATATTTCGTTTCCATATTTGGATTTTTCAATTTCTCGAATTCTCGATTTTCAAATTTTTGAATTTTCTGTTTTCGATTTTTAAATATTCGAATTTTCGTTTTTTCGAATTTGATTAGTCAATTTTCGAATTTTCTATTCTACAGTTTTTCGAATTTTCAATTTGTTTCCTTTTCGATTTCCCGATTTTTCAATTTTTCGCTTTTTCGATTATTCAAACTTTCAGTTTTTCGAATTTTCGATATTTGGTTTCTTTTTTAAATTCGATTCCACGATTTTTAATTTTCAATTTTTCGATTTTTTGCTTTTCGAACTTTTTTTTGACTTTTAATATTTCGTATTTTCTACATTTGGATTTTTCAATTTCACGAATTCTCGATTTCCGAATTTTTGGTTTTTTAGATTTTTCAAATTTTAAATTTTAGAATTTTCGGTTTTTCGAATATTTGATTGATAGAATTTTCAATTTTTCAATCCTTCGATTTTTCAACTTTCTATTTTTTGAATATTAGATTTTTGGTTTTTCTAATTTTTGATTTTTCAATTTTTCCATTCTTCAGTTTTTTGAATTCTCAATTTGTTTCGTTTTCGATGATCCGATTTTTCTATCACTCCGGACAGAAATCTTGTCGGATTGATAGAAAAGTAAGAACACATCAGTTGTGCCGTTGTTTAACTACATATTACGGTCTCTGGAAGTTCTGAGAGAATTTAACATTCTGTGTGTGATTATTTAAGTATTTTTGAGAACTACCTGGAAGATCGGATCGAGAAAGATTACTATGCAAAACCTACATGGTGTTTCTAATTACAGGCTTGAGGCTATCAACATTGTGGTTCTAATTAAAATTTATTTACATTGACTTATACGTAAGCCGACGTTTAGTAAAAAAATGTCTCATTTGGTCAATCTGGTTATGAGTACCTAATAAAAAAAAACTGACATCTTAAGCCTTCCCCGCTTACTTAATAAATCATCGTCTCACCGATGTTAGGGGCTTTATCTTCTAGAAGGTCTAAGTAGTGTGGCGCCTCGACGTTATTTACAAAGAATGTTTAATCTTCCGTAAAATTGTAGGAGTGGTACCTGACAAAAATTTGCAACTAGTGTCACTTCTTGTCAACGCTTTACAGAAATTCGTCCGTATCCTTCTGAAAAATTAGTTTTAGTTAGTGCTTTTCGAAATTCAGACGTTTCTTTTTTTCACATTCCATCATCTATCCGCAATGTTTTTTATTTGTGTGAATACATATTTGCTTGTTTGTGAAAATACCCCTTTAGGGTTCATGGGCACTAAATTCCTGTACTTTCAGAGGATACGTCAACGGTATTTCCATTTTCGGATAATGAAGACGATGCGAATAGCGGTTTAGATATGTGATATCTAAACAATCTAAAGTGTTAAACTTCCACTTAGTTCTAACTTTGAAAATTCAGATACAAGCATGAATGTCTAATCCGATTCGTGGCGATTCCGAGTGAGTTTTAACAAAAATTTGATAATTTATTAATTTTGTTTTTTCTCAGATAATTTTCTATTCCAACGAGTACTGATTTGAGTAAGAAGTTTATCTGTAAATTTTGACCACACATGGATGAGGACTATATTATGAGATACACTTTTGGGTTTCATGGACACAAAATTTACCTGAGTCATCTGAACGATGATATTTTCGCAAATAAAGGTAATTGAAAATTATTTCATTTATTATTACAAAACAATAGTCAATTAGTATGTTTGCGCAAAACATTTTCTTATACATTTGTTCTTGTGTTTACACTTATCGTTATAACTATGTCTCATAATTATTATTATAACATTCACAATCATTACATCTTATACTGACAACGATAGAATTTTTCTACAATGTCAATCAGTGTCATTTAGAACTCTAATTATGTCGCAACTGAAAATGAAACTCCTTTTGTATTAACTGATACACTTACGTGTGTGTGTGTGTGTGTGTGCGTGTGTGTGTGGATGTAACCCTCAATACACAAATAAAAATATATACTTAAATTTAAATTACCTAAATCCGCTATCAAATTAATAGTGATCTAATTAAATTTAATAATGATATAATTAATTTAATTACGTTCGCGCTTAAAAATTAAATTATGAGTAATCAAAATCCATTAAGATCGGCATCTTGATTGACAACACACCTCAAAAATCCATTAAGATCGTTATCTTGATTGACAGCTGTCAAGATAACGTCACCTGTCAACATGATTTATTACCCCACTAATCCTAGGCACTATCTACTGTGCGATAATTGAGATATCGAAAAGCTAATGAATGGAAAAATTGAAACTCGAAAGTAAACAAACTAAAAATTTCGAATATCGAAAAATCAAAAATTCGATGAAACAAATATATTTGAAAAAACAAAAATTCGAGAAATCGGAAAACTGAAAATTCGAAAATTTAAAAATCGAAAATCGAAAAACCGAAAAATCCAAAATTCGAAAACGAGATTTCGAAAGCATCGAAATCCGAGAATCAAAATATAGAAAAAACGAAATATCCAAAGTCGGAAACTTGAAAATTCTAAAATTGAAAAAACGAAATTACAAAAATTCGGATATGAAAAATCAAAAAAACGAAAATTGAAAATTTGAAAAATCGAATCAAAAAAACATCAAGAAATAAAAGATGGAGAAATCGAGAAACCGAGAAGTCGAGAAGTAGATAAAATGATAAACCGAAAAATCTAAAATTAAAATATCCCTGGACTGAAAAATCTATAAATGGGGAAATTCGCAAAATTGTAGTGTTGAAAAGTTAAGAAATTGAAAACTTGAAAAAACACAGTTGGGACCCTCGAGAAGGTTTCTCCTGCTCAAAAAAACAGTTGCTAGAAGTTTTCATAAAAAAAAAACCTACGATTTTCGTTTTCTAATTACCTCTATAAAGTAAAAACTAGTGGCGTTATCAACACTCCCGGTCCGCACAAGCGTGGACAATGCAAAATATGTTTAAAATAGAAAACCAATGAGAAAAACGTAGAAATTCTCAATTTCTCAGTACATGCTTAACAAAAATCCGATGCCAAGGGTAAAAACTCAACACGGATTCAAAACATTTATTCGGCAAATAAATTTTGAATAACGATTTATCATGCTTCCTGTAGCCTTAAAACTTTTCAAGATTACAGAGCATTCGGTTTTGTATTTTCAAAGTTAAATGGTAAGATACAATTTTGAATTTTCCGTCAAAAATCTGTATATCTAGGGTAAACACTCAACACGTATTCTAAAATCACACATGCAGGAGTATGTAATTCTATAGAATTTAAAAAACAGTTATTCGGCATTTTTTTGTATATAATGTAAATAAATATTTAAGTGTTACTCCAGTTACTATCAGAGATAACTTTTAATCTTTCTCCTGTTCAAACTAGCTGTAAACACTTCAAACTTGTTGTTTTGGAAGATATAAATATAAACTCGATTTTTGCATTCTGAAGTGATCATTTTTGTTGCGTAAGGCTGGCACAATGACCGTGAAATTCACATGTTTGTGCTTTCTATTTTTCTCTGTCGTTAACTCAGTGGTAAATTTTCAAACGACGCTGCCGGTGATTGGCGTGATCATCACGCTCCCCAACGGCGACATTCTAGGTCAAGCAGACAGCGCATACAGTGGAAAAACGTACTACACTTTTCAAAAAATCCCTTACGCGGCCCCTCCTGTTGGCGATCTGAGATTCAAGGTACTACTCTCCGTTATCCAACAAGGCAATCACTAAAAATTTGTAGGCACCGGTACCACCCGACAATTGGGATGGGCTTCTCAACGCTACGTACCTTGACGTAATCTGCTATCAACAAACGGTCGACCCAACAGAACAATCCGAAGACTGTCTTTACATTAACATTTACACACCTGATGTACTTACAACTAAGACTGTAGTACGTGAGTACCGTCAATAACGAAAATAATTTTAGCTTCCAAATGAAGATCACGAGGTTTCCATACCGGTACTTCTTTACATTTACGGTGGTGGATTCACCGAGGGTCACGCAATGCAGTACCGACGAGGACCTGAGTACTTGATTGACTATGACATAGTGATTGTCACGTTTAACTACCGTTTAGGAGCTTTTGGTACTTCGACGACTTTTCGCTAAATTAAATAATCACATTGATTTCACAGGATTTCTTTCAACCGAAGACACTGTGATTCCGGGAAATACTGGTCTGAAGGACCAACAGCTTGCAATCCAGTGGGTCCACACGAATATACACCTCTTTGGGGGAGATCCTGACAGAATAACCATCGTCGGTGAAAGTGCCGGTGGCGCCTCAGTCGGACACCATCTTCTCAATAAAAATTCCGAAGGTACTTCGTCGAGCAGTTGTAGCGTCTAAAACACTTCGAATTCTAGGACTATTCCGAGCTGCCATTATGGAAAGTGGTACCGCCATCAACCCATGGACCCTCCAAAGAAACTCCAAAGCCACAGCGTTTGCTCTTGGCGCTCTTTTAAATAGTACTTTCGAGGACATCGACGACACGGAAGTGCTGCTCGAGTACTTGCTCACAGTTCCTGCCGAAGAACTAAACCAAGCGTCCGGACAACTATCAGGATGGGTATGAACTTCTCCAAAATTGAACACATAGGTGGCTAAGTAACGATTTTTCTTTAGGCACCTGTGATTGAAGTTGAGCACGAAGACGCCTTCATCACACAAAAAATGTACGGACTTCTCCTGGCAGGAGATTTTGTTCAAGTACCTGTTCTGATGGGAATCAATTCGGAAGAATCGCTTTATGATGCTGGGGGTTTGTGTAGACATTTTTGTGTTCTAAAATTATGTTTTTTGATTTTTAATAGATCTGGATTCGCTTCGGGCCACATTGGAGTTCTATGACAACTACCCTCAGCTGCTGGTACCCGTCGATTTAAGTATACATTTGGATGATGAAAATAAGGAAACGTTTGGGCTAAACATCAGACAAATATATTGTGGGGACGAGAAGTTTGCTGATAATTTACCAGCGGGTGTACGGGTACTACACAAATATTATATAGGAAAATGTGAATAATCAACCAAGTTCATTTTTAGTTTAACAGTGACACCTCGTTTACTAGAGCTGCTATCAGATGCGCTGAAATCAAAAAGCAGTTCGTTGATGTTTTCTTTTACCAGTTTTCGTATGACGGAGTTTTGGGAAATGTTTCAATAAGCATTGAAGGTACGTTTGGCAAAAATTGGTAGGTTTTTTCGATAGAACTTTCCTTAATGTAAAGCCCAATAAATCCAGAAAAATCTAAAATTAAAGAATCGGAAAGTCAAAAAATTACCTATTTCGATTCCTTAAATTTTCAATTTTTTGACTTCTCGATGTTTTTCGGTTTTTCGATTTTCAAATTGTTGATGTTTCAATCCTCCGGAATGTCAAAAAATGGAAAATTGGAAAACCGAAAACTCGAGACATCAAAAAACGAATTCGATTTTGATCTAATTCGTGTCTCAATTTTTCGATTTTTTGACTCCTTGAATTTCCGATTTTTTGATTTCTCGATCTTTTGTTGTTTCGATTTTTCGATTTCTTGGTTTTTCGATTTCTCAGATTTTCGATTTTTCGATTATTCGGCTTTCTGATGTTTCGATTTTTGGGATTTTTTGAACATTGGATTTTCAATCTCTCGATTTCTCTGTTCGAAAATTGAATAAATAGAAAAATCTTCCGGAATCTCAAAAAATCGAAAATTGACAGAAATCAAGAAGTAAAAAAAAGTAAAAAATCGAAAAACTGAAGAACAGAATTAAAATTGTGAGACATTGAAAAGAAAAAAAAAAACTGAAGAACGGAAAAATTCAAAAATTCGAAAATTCAAAAATCGAAAATACGAAAATTCGAAAAATCGAAAAATCCAAAAACCGAAAAGTCGAGAAGTAGAGAAATTGATAAACCGAAAAAATTCAAAAATGGAAAAATTCCCAAAATTGTTGACAGTTAAGAAATCGAAAACTTGTAAAATCGATGAATAAAAAAAATTGAAAAGTATAAAAACTGAAGAATGTCAAAAATCAAAAAGTAGAAGGATTGAAAATTCGAATATCGGAAATCCAAAACTCAAGAAATCGAAAATTCAGTGAAACAAATATGCGAAATGAGGAAAATCCGAGAAATCGAAAAACTGAAAATTCGAAAATCTAAAAACCGAAAATGGAAAAACCGAAAAATCAAAAATCGAAAACGCGATTTCCAAAAATCGAAATTTAGAAAAAGCGAACCATTGAATGTCGAAAAATCAAAAATTCCATGAAACAAATATTTGAAAAATCGAAAATCCGAGAAGTCGGAAGAATCGAAAATTCGAAAATCTAAAACCCGAAAATCCAAAAACCGAAAATTCAAAAATTCGAAATCAAGATTTCCAAAAATGGAAATCCAAGAATCGAAATATTGAAAAAACGAAATATCGAGAGTCGAAAAATAGAAAATTCTAAACTGAAAAATCGAAATTTCGAAAAGCTTTGAAAAACAAAAAAGGTGAAAAGTCGAAAAATCAAAAAACAGAAAAATCGAAACATCAAGAAATTGAGAAATCGAGATAACGAAAAGTCAAGAACTAGAAAATCGACAAATCGACAAAATTCAAAAATGGAAAAATTCCCAAAATTGTTGACAGTTAAGTAATCGAAAACTTGTAAAATCGATAAATAAAAAAAATTGAAAAGTTTAAAAACTGAAGAATGTAAAAATTTAAAAATTAAAAATTCGAAAAATCAAAAATCAAAAACTCGGAAAATCGAAAAATGGAACAGTAAAATAATTGAGAAATCGAAAAACTGAAGATTGGAAGAATTTAAATTCGGAAAATAAAAGAACTAGAAACTGAAGAATGGACAAATTGAAAAATTGAAAATTCAAAAATTCAAAAATCGAAAATGCAAAAACTCGCGAAATCGAAAATTTTGAAAATCGAAGAATTAAAAAAGCGAGAAATTGAAAAGGAAACAAATTGTAAATTCGAATATCGAAAAAACGAAAATACGAGAAATCGGAAAACTGAAAATTCGAAAATATAAAAATGGAAAATGGAAAAACCGAAAAATCAAAAATTCGAAAACGAAATATAGAAAAAGCGAACAGTAAAATAATTGAGAAATCGAAAAACTGAAGATTGGAAGAATTTAAATTCGGAAAATAAAAGAACTAGAAACTGAAGAATGGACAAATTGAAAAATTGAAAATTCAAAAATTCAAAATACGAAAATGCAAAAACTCGCGAAATCGAAAATTTTGAAAATCGAAGAATTAAAAAAGCGAGAAATTGAAAAGGAAACAAATTGTAAATTCGAATATCGAAAAAACGAAAATACGAGAAATCGGAAAACTGAAAATTCGAAAATATAAAAATCGAAAATGGAAAAACCGAAAAATCAAAAATTCGAAAACGAAATATAGAAAAAGCGAACAGTAAAATAATTGAGAAATCGAAAAACTGAAGATTGGAAGAATTTAAATTCGGAAAATAAAAGAACTAGAAACTGAAGAATGGACAAATTGAAAAATTGAAAATTCAAAAATTCAAAATTCGAAAATGCAAAAACTCGCCAAATCGAAAATTTTGAAAATCGAAGAATTGAAAAAACGAGAAATTGAAAAGGAAACAAATTGTAAATTCGAATATCGAAAAAACGAAAATACGAGAAATCGGAAAACTGAAAATTCGAAAATATAAAAATGGAAAATGGAAAAACCGAAAAATCAAAAATTCGAAAACGAAATATAGAAAAAGCGAACAGTAAAATAATTGAGAAATCGAAAAACTGAAGATTGGAAGAATTTAAATTCGGAAAATAAAGGAACTAGAAACTGAAGAATGGACAAATTGAAAAATTGAAAATTCAAAAATTCAAAATACGAAAATGCAAAAACTCGCGAAATCGAAAATTTTGAAAATCGAAGAATTAAAAAAGCGAGAAATTGAAAAGGAAACAAATTGTAAATTCGAATATCGAAAAAACGAAAATACGAGAAATCGGAAAACTGAAAATTCGAAAATATAAAAATCGAAAATGGAAAAACCGAAAAATCAAAAATTCGAAAACGAAATATAGAAAAAGCGAACGATTGAATGTTAAAAATTGAAAAGCCGGAAAACCGAAAAATCGAATCAAAAATTGAAACAGCGAGAGGTCGAAATATTAAAAGATCCAGAAATAGAGAACTTGAAAAATCTCAAATTAAAATTAAAATATCCAGACACGGAAAAATTCCCAAAATTGAAGTGTTGAAAAGTCGAGAAGTCGAAAAATGGAAAAATTTTAAACACTGAAAAATTGAAAAGTCGAGAAATTGAAAAGTCCCAAAACTGAGACGTAGAAAAATTGGGAAATCGAAAAACTAAAAAATCGAAACATCAAAAAATTGAAAAATTTTTAATACGTCGATTTTATACTTTCTCGAATTTTAAGTTTTTCATTTTTTAATATTTTCATTTTTCCATTTATGATTTTTCAGTTTTACAATTTGCAATTCTTCAATTTTTTTTAATCCGAAAAATTGAAATTCGAAAAATTGAAAATCGGAAACAATTGCAAAATCGAAAAACGAAATAATGAAAAATTGCAAAATCGAAGAAACGAAAAAGTGAAACAGAAAACTTAAAACTTCTTAAAAATCCAAAAACAAAAAAAAACGCGAAAGCGATAAGTTGGAAAACACAAAATTGGAAAATTGAAAAATTATAGAATCGGGAAATTGATAAATTAAAAACGGAAAAATTAAAAAATGAAAAATTAAAATGGAAAAAATGAAAAGTTCTAAAATCGTAAAACTGAAAAAACAAAAAATTTTAAGTTACATTTAAAACGAGAATTATAAAAACTGCAAATCATAAATTGAAGAAGAGAAAAATCGAAAAAATTCAAAATTTAAGATTGAAACAACTAAAAATTAAAAAGCCTAATGTTGAAAAATTGAAAAATTAAAAATCAAAAAATTTAAAAATACGTAAATGGAGAAATATCACATTGAAAAACAAAGAAAAATTATAAAATCAGACCAAGGGAAAACCTAAAAATTAAAAAAATTAAGAAAGTAAAAAGTTGAAAATTCCAAATTGATTAATTGAAGAAATTAGAATTTGAAACATCAAAAATGAAAACTCGTGACTTTGCAAACCGAAAAATTGCAAAATTGTAAAATTAAAGATAAGAAAAACCGAAACGAACGCAAACTTTAAGACATGAAAAATTGAAGAATCGAAAAATTGAAAAATTTTAAAAATAAAACTTTGAAAAATTGAAAATTGTACTGCCAAAAACCGAAAAATCAAGATATTAAAAAATCTAAAATTTAAAAAAATCCCAAAACTCAAATTTTGAAAAATTGTTCAATCGATAAATCGAAGAAAAATTGAAGAATCCAAAAAACGAAAAATCCCGAAACTGAAACAACCAAAAATTTGAAAAATCCAAAAATCGAAAAATCTCTAAAAACTGAAAAATCAAAAACCCGACAAATCGAAAAATTGAAGAATTGAAAACCTGAAAATCGAAAAATGGAGAAGTCTAGAAACCAAACATCAAAAACTCGAAAAATCAAGAAACGGGAAAATCAAAAAATCCTAAAATCCAAAAATCTAATTACAAAAAGTCAAATAGGTGAAACATAAAACAAAACGAAAAATCGATTAATTGAAAAATATAAAATTTTAGAAAAGCCAAAAATTAAAATGTTGATAAAAATCGAAAAATTTAAAAATTAAAAAATTAAAGAATCAAATTGAAAAATCGGAAAAAAATCGCGAAATCGAAACACTTAACAGCCGAAAAATTGAAAATTCGAAAACTTGAGAAAACGAGAAATCGTACAATTTTTTAAAAACTTGACACATAAACTCGAATGTTACAGGGGCCGAACACGTTGCTCATGCCGAAGAACTTCGCTACATATGGCGCACCACCAGAGACCACTACGACAATTCCGACATCAGCCAATTTCCTCCAGAAGACGCTCTCACTCAGCACCGGATGTTAACACTTTGGACTAACTTTGTCAAAAATTTGTACGTCCTGGAAGTTATGTTTTGCAAAAAATTAATAAGTATTCGTTTTGTAGAAACCCGACGCCTGAGGAAATCGATCTCCTGCAAAATGTAACTTGGCCGACCGTTTCGTCTGGAGGCGTACAAGATTTTCTCTATTTAGACATTGGGGAAAACTTGGAAGTGAAAAATCATCCTAAGGGAGACTCGTACGTGGGATGGCTTGAACTTTACGCCATGCTGGGGTCTGATGATTTTGATACATTTTAAGAGTGTTTGTCTTATCTAGTTGATAAGATACGGACGAGTGTTATAATTCCTTGGAATGGACTTTTATTGTATTTTTAATGCTATAATAAATCTGGGTACACAAAATTTAAATTGTCTTTAAATTACATCACCTGAAATGATTATATCTCTTCTGTAGTCAGTTTTTTTTACTAACAATATTTAGTCTAGTTCTGTTTATTTATAATCTCTGTCGTAAATTAGATACAATTTTTTGTATCTTGTCACTAAAATTATCAGTGTTGATTATTTTTATCAGGTACCAGCTTCAGTACTTTATTGCTTGCCACTACAAACTATTTTTCTGAATCTCACTTTTACGTTAATTTAAGTATTATTGAATATTTGAAGATTTCATGATGAAGTTACAACTCTTGTTCGCAGTTAGTTTTCTGTTAATTAAAATCTGTGTAAGTACTTATTATTTTTTACTTTTATTACTACTAACACATTACAAAGTATTGTTGTGTCTTTGTGAAACTCGACTCTGGCATCATCAAAGGTCGCATCGCAAATATTCCAAACAACAAAAAAACGTTTTATGCTTTCCAAGAAATCCCCTATGCAGCCCCTCCAACAGGAAATTTAAGATTTCAGGTAAATTTTAAATTTATCGTTTGTTGTGCATTCACAAGCAAATTACCACATTCTAGCCACCTCAAGAAGTACCAGCTTGGAAAGGAATTTTAGATACCACAAAAAATACCAAAATATGTTACCAAATATCTTCTGACTCAGACAAAGAAACCGAAGACTGTCTTTATTTAAACGTTTACACACCACAAGTAGGTAGCAATGACGTTTGATTCTAAATTTAATGTCAATTTTTAAGTTACCGGCAAAAGAGAAATCTGCAGATTTACCAGTGATGGTTTACATACATGGAGGAGGATATATTCTAGGGGATGCTACTCATCAATCCTACGGTCCAGAGTTTCTTGTAGATCGTGATGTTGTTGTTGTAACACTAAACTATCGTTTAGGAGTGTTCGGTAAATTTTGATTCTACTTTGCAAAATTGATCTCTAAAATTTTATAATGTAGGTTTTTTATCGACGCAAGACGAAGTGGTGCCTGGAAACAATGGGCTGAAGGACCAACTCTTTGCTCTGAAATGGGTTCAAAAGAATATTTTTTTGTTTGGAGGCAATGCATCACAAGTTACTATTTTTGGGCAAAGTGCTGGGGCATCGTCTGTTGGGTATCATCTGATTAGCAAAAAATCTGCAGGTATAGCGGAATCGAGTCCATCGGATGACTTTATAGTCGTGTGTTTTCTCGACTTTTCATGACCCCTAGAGTACGAAGAAATAGGTTCCCTGTTTCCGTCCGTCTGTCTGTCTGTCTGTCTGCCATCTGTCCGGAAAATTGGTTAATAATGACCACTAAGAATTTGATGAAGTTGATCTCGAAAATTTGCATTAGTAAATTTATTTTTATTTTTAAACAATAATAAAACTGCGAAACCGGATGCTCTGAAATCTTGCAAACGTTTTAAATTTTTCGATTTCTCAGTTTTTCGATTTTTCGACTTTCCGGATTCTTGAATTTCCAAATTCTTGATTATTCGACTTTTCGATTTCGAGATCTAGAACCCACTTCCGGCCTCGATTCTTTGATAGCTGCAACCGTTTTTCCAGAATCGACGGTTGAAATATCGAAATTTTTGAAAATTCGATAAATTAGGCATTTCGTACCGATTTTTCCGAAAATGTCGCTCCGCGACCATCAACAGCCTATATTTTTGGAATCAGCACGTCGAGATCTACGTCCCTGAATTTTTTCAGAATTTTTAAACGACTTTTTCAAAAGTGAAAATTTTCCAATGGTCACCCCTTCTTCAAATTTCGGCCAAATTTTGACATTTTCGAAACCTAACTGAGTATATTTTCTTGTAGATTTGGAGCTCTAGAACTCACTTCCGGCCTCGATTCTTTAATAGCTGCAACCGTTTTTCCAGAATCGACGGTTGAAATATCGAAATTTTTGAAAATTCGATAAATTAGGCATTTCGTACCGATTTTTTCGAAAATGTCCCTCAGCGACCATCAACAGCCTATATTTTTGGAATCAGCACGTCGAGATCTACGTCCCTGAATTTTTTCAGAATTTTTAAACGACTTTTTCAAAAGTGAAAATTTTCCAATGGTCACCCCTTCTTCAAATTTCGGCCAAATTTTGACATTTTCGAAACCTAACTGAGTATATTTTCTTGTAGATTTGGAGCTCTAGAACTCACTTCCGGCCTCGATTCTTTAATAGCTGCAACCGTTTTTCCAGAATCGACGGTTGAAATATCGAAATTTTTGAAAATTCGATAAATTAGGCATTTCGTACCGATTTTTTCGAAAATGTCGCTCAGCGACCATCAACAGCCTATATTTTTGGAATCAGCACGTCGAGATCTACGTCCCTGAATTTTTTCAGAATTTTTAAACGACTTTTTCAAAAGTGAAAATTTTCCAATGGTCACCCCTTCTTCAAATTTCGGCCAAATTTTGACATTTTCGAAACCTAACTGAGTATATTTTCTTGTAGATTTGGAGCTCTAGAACTCACTTCCGGCCTCGATTCTTTAATAGCTGCAACCGTTTTTCCAGAATCGACGGTTGAAATATCGAAATTTTTGAAAATTCGATAAATTAGGCATTTCGTACCGATTTTTTCGAAAATGTCCCTCAGCGACCATCAACAGCCTATATTTTTGGAATCAGCACGTCGAGATCTACGTCCCTGAATTTTTTCAGAATTTTTAAACGACTTTTTCAAAAGTGAAAATTTTCCAATGGTCACCCCTTCTTCAAATTTCGGCCAAATTTTGACATTTTCGAAACCTAACTGAGTATATTTTCTTGTAGATTTGGAGCTCTAGAACTCACTTCCGGCCTCGATTCTTTAATAGCTGCAACCGTTTTTCCAGAATCGACGGTTGAAATATCGAAATTTTTGAAAATTCGATAAATTAGGCATTTCGTACCGATTTTTTCGAAAATGTCGCTCAGCGACCATCAACAGCCTATATTTTTGGAATCAGCACGTCGAGATCTACGTCCCTGAATTTTTTCAGAATTTTTAAACGACTTTTTCAAAAGTGAAAATTTTCCAATGGTCCCCCCTTCTTCAAATTTCGGCCAAATTTTGACATTTTCGAAACCTAACTGAGTACATTTTCTTGTAGATTTCGAGCTCTGGAACTCACTTCCGGCCTCGATTCTTTGATAGCTGCAACCGTTTTTCCAGAATCGACGGTTGAAATATCGAAATTTTTGAAAATTCGATAAATTAGGCATTTCGTACCGATTTTTTCGAAAATGTCGCTCCGCGACCATCAACAGCCTATATTTTTGGAATCAGCACGTCGAGATCTACGTCCCTGAATTTTTTCAGAATTTTTAAACGACTTTTTCAAAAGTGAAAATTTTCCAATGGTCCCCCCTTCTTCAAATTTCGGCCAAATTTTGACATTTTCGAAACCAAATTGAGTACATTTTCTTGTAGATTTCGAGCTCTGGAACTCACTTCCGGCCTCGATTCTTTGATAGCTGCAACCGTTTTTCCAGAATCGACGGTTGAAATATCGAAATTTTTGAAAATTCGATAAATTAGGCATTTCGTACCGATTTTTTCGAAAATGTCGCTCCGCGACCATCAACAGCCTATATTTTTGGAATCAGCACGTCGAGATCTACGTCCCTGAATTTTTTCAGAATTTTTAAACGACTTTTTCAAAAGTGAAAATTTTCCAATGGTCCCCCCTTCTTCAAATTTCGGCCAAATTTTGACATTTTCGAAACCAAATTGAGTACATTTTCTTGTAGATTTCGAGCTCTGGAACTCACTTCCGGCCTCGATTCTTTGATAGCTGCAACCGTTTTTCCAGAATCGACGGTTGAAATATCGAAATTTTTGAAAATTCGATAAATTAGGCATTTCGTACCGATTTTTTCGAAAATGTCGCTCCGCGACCATCAACAGCCTATATTTTTGGAATCAGCACGTCGAGATCTACGTCCCTGAATTTTTTCAGAATTTTTAAGCGACTTTTTCAAAAGTGAAAATTTTCCAATGGTCCCCCCTTCTTCAAATTTCGGCCAAATTTTGACATTTTCGAAACCTAACTGAGTAATTTTTCTTGTAGATTTCGAGCTCTAGAACTCACTTCCGGCCTCGATTCTTTGATAGCTGCAACCGTTTTTCCAGAATCGACGGTTGAAATGTCGAAATTTTTGAAAATTCGATAAATTCGGCATTTCGTACCGATTTTTTCGAAAACGTCGCTCCGCGACCATCAACAGCCTATATTTTTGGAATCAGCACGTCGAAATCTACGTCCCTGAATTTTTTCAGAATTTTTAAACGACTTTTTCAAAAGTGAAAATTTTCCAATGGTCCCCCCTTCTTCAAATTTCGGCCAAATTTTGACATTTTCGAAACCAAATTGAGTACATTTTCTTGTAGATTTCGAGCTCTAGAACTCACTTCCGGCCTCGATTCTTTGATAGCTGCAACCGTTTTTCCAGAATCGACGGTTGAAATATCGAAATTTTTGAAAATTCGATAAATTAGGCATTTCGTACCGATTTTTTCGAAAATGTCGCTCAGCGACCATCAACAGCCTGTATTTTTGGAATCAGCACGTCGAGATCTACGTCCCTGAATTTTTTCAGAATTTTTAAACGACTTTTTCAAAAGTGAAAATTTTCCAATGGTCCCCCCTTCTTCAAATTTCGGCCAAATTTTGACATTTTCGAAACCTAACTGAGTACATTTTCTTGTAGATTTCGAGCTCTGGAACTCACTTCCGGCCTCGATTCTTTGATAGCTGCAACCGTTTTTCCAGAATCGACGGTTGAAATATCGAAATTTTTGAAAATTCGATAAATTAGGCATTTCGTACCGATTTTTTCGAAAATGTCGCTCCGCGACCATCAACAGCCTATATTTTTGGAATCAGCACGTCGAGATCTACGTCCCTGAATTTTTTCAGAATTTTTAAACGACTTTTTCAAAAGTGAAAATTTTCCAATGGTCCCCCCTTCTTCAAATTTCGGCCAAATTTTGACATTTTCGAAACCTAATTGACTCCATTTTCTTGTAGATTTCGAGCTCTGGAACTCACTTCCGGCCTCGATTCTTTGATAGCTGCAAACGTTTTTCCAGAATCGACGGTTGAAATATCGAAATTTTTGAAAATTCGATAAATTCGGCATTTCGTACCGATTTTTTCGAAAATGTCGCTCCGCGACCATCAACAGCCTATATTTTTGGAATCAGCACGTCGAAATCTACGTCCCTGAATTTTTTCAGAATTTTTAAACGGCTTTTACAAAAGTGAAAATTTTCCCCTTCTTCAAATTTCGGCCAAATTTTGACATTTTCGAAAGCTAACTGAGTACATTTTCTTGTAGATTTCGAGCTCTAGAACCCACTTCCGGCCTCGATTCTTTGATAGCTGCAACCGTTTTTCCAGAATCGACGGTTGAAATATCGAAATTTTTGAAAATTCGATAAATTAGGCATTTCTTACCGATTTTTTCGAAAATGTCGCTCCGCGACCATCAACAGCCTACAATTTTGGAATCAGCACGTGGAGATCTACGTCCCTGAATTTTTTCAGAATTTTTAAACGACTTTTTCAAAAGTGAAAATTTTCCAATGGTCCCCCCTTCTTCAAATTTCGCCGAAATTTTGACATTTTCGTAACCTAACTGAGTTCATTTTCTTGTAGATTTCGAGCTCTAGAACTCACTTCCGGTCTCGATTCTTTGATAGCTGCAACCGTTTTTCCAGAATCGAGGGTTGAAATATCGAAATTTTTGAAAATTCGATAAATTAGGCATTTCGTACCGATTTTTTCGAAAATGTCGCTCCGCGACCATCAACAGCCTATTTTTTGGAATGAGCATGTCGAGATCTACGTCCCTGAATTTTTTCAGAATTTTTAAACGACTTTTTCAAAAGTGAAAATTTTCCAATGGTCCCCCCTTCTTCAAATTTCGGCCAAATTTTGACATTTTCGAAACCTAATTGAGTACATTTTCTTGTAGATTTCGAGCTCTGGAACTCACTTCCGGCCTCGATTCTTTGATAGCTGCAACCGTTTTTCCAGAATCGACGGTTGAAATATCGAAATTTTTGAAAATTCGATAAATTAGGCATTTCGTACCGATTTTTTCGAAAATGTCGCTCAGCGACCATCAACAGCCTATATTTTTGGAATCAGCACGTCG